ACGAAGACAACCAAGGAGCCATTGCCATGTCAAAAAACCCTGTTTTGCATAAAAGAACAAAACATATCGATATTAAATTTCATTTTGTTCGTGAGAAAGTTGAAGATGAAACTATTCAAGTAAACTACTGTCCAACAGATGAAATGATCGCTGACATCTTTACAAAATCATTGCCACAAGGAAAATTTGAGAAACTTCGCTCTAAGCTAGGACTTACCTTGATGTAGTATGATGCTGAGTGAGTGGGAGTGTTGAATTTATTAATGTACACTTAGCATTATGATATTTTGTTACTTCAAGTATTACTTTAATATGACATTGCGGGCGCAGCTCTATACAATCGCTGGCTCAGTTGTATGTTATATATAAGTTCTTGTTGTTTTCTTATTTAATAAACTTTTTGCGAATATTTCGTTAAACTAACATCATGTTCTTGTCTGACAGCCATGACTGAAGTCTAGGGTTATGCCTGGCAACAAGATTTGATATTTGGATAAAGTTTCCCTCGTGCTTTTCATTATGCCCTCTGAAAGCTAGCTGTTGTCGTGCCAATGTTCTTGCGATGTCTAAAAGGATCTTTATGGCTTCTTGGTTTCGCAAATTGTTTTCTTCTTCTTGTATTCTTACTTCTCTTAACTTCTTTTCCAACATTACATCGACGTTTTTCATATTGCAGGCAAAGTGTGCCAAATCACTCAAAGCAATTTTGTGGGATTCGGAAGAGAAATGCTGTTGCATCTTTCCTTTTTTATCTTTACCCACGCTTCTCATCTTATCCCATGATCGAACTCCAGTAACCCAGGCATCTGACGCTTTCTTTCTTCCTGGTCCACTCGGAAAAAGAGCACAAACAAAACAGGATACATAGTCCGCCTTTATACTGTACTCTAAATGGGGATATTCTTTGTACCAAATTGATGAAAACATACGTTGTTTGTGTTGTTTGTGTTGTGTTATTTTTTTCTTCTGAAGATTAGTTAACAGTTTTGGACGGTCGGCGGGATCAAGCAGCAGCCCAAGATCATTTTTTTCTTCCAAAACACCAATTTGAGATTTCTCAGTGCAAATTGCTTGGAGAATATCCTCAAAATTGCTTTGTAAACGTATGGCCATGTTACTAATCTTCTTTACGTATTTGAAATTTCAACATGTTGAACTTTCAAAGCGACTAGCTGACGCGACTACGCTACAAGCTTAGTAACCACGCTGTTTCAGCCTGTAGAAATAAGCCAAAATTGTCAAAAATGAAAGTTTGTTATTTCCACTTAGTAATCATTTAGTTGTTTTCGATGGTATGGCAATTTTTCTACTTCGTGAACACTGCCCTGCCACTTGACGGCAATATGCCCTGCAAAAACACTGTTTACAGCAATTGGGGGGTGTCACACCCCCCACACCCCTCCAACAGTTACGCCCCTGAAACTGATATATTCAACCACTAAAATCTGCAATACAAATATTTTGAATATCGAATTTCATGCAAATGTCATGTGTCCACAACGACCATATATGGTAAAGACATTTGCCAACCCGCTACTTTTATTGATGATTATGCGGCACAAAGAACTTATTTCACTGAATTGCGCGTATTGTTATTCGTGACAAGTACGATCGACAGAATTTCTAGTGTGCGGGAGTTTGAACAACATTTGTCATTCGTGACAGATGAGTCTAATATCAAACGCGTTTGATATTAGACTCATCTGTCACGAATGACAAATGTTGTTCAAAACTTCCGCGCACACTAGGAACTTTTGTCGAACGCACTTGTCACGAATAACAAGTACGCGCGGCAAGTTCACCAGTGTGCGGCGGGCTTAACATAACAATTGCAGCTCTTAATGAAGGCATTTGCAAAATCTTTGGTAGAGTACACCATAATATTTTTATCATCGCATGTAAATTTCATAATTATACTTGTTATCAAACAATCATAATAAAAATGAAAACGTTGTATTTGGCAAAACTGATTTTGTTATGAAGTTTGAGAAAATTGTCCAAAAAGTTTAGCAAAATCGAAGATTGTTATCTAACAATGAAAGATTTCACTGCGCTTAGATTTATTCGCTTCGTGTCAAAACTGGTAATCTCTAATTAAATAGAAAAAAATAACCTCTAGTGCACATACAATGTCACACTTTTGTCATAAATAAACCTGACAAAATTATGTAATATATGAGAACACGATTGCAAAACTTGACTTCTCCAAATGTAGAATTTAATTTGAGAATAAGATTCAAAAGTAGCATGGCAATTTTTTTATACTTCACCTCATTTAACGGCTAAAGATTGAAGCAAAACTTGCAGCATTCCCATAAAATAAGTTTCACATAATTCTAGATATTTCTAGCACAGCTTATAATGTATTTATCGATGTATTTTAAATAAATCATTTTAACTCACCATGAATTAGAGAACTATTCAACCATTTTACATAATAACTGCTTTGATACATCAACATGAACTCGTTGCTCACGATTGATACAGGTAACAGAAATGCAGCACCAATTGACACACTCAAAGTAAACGTACATAACCACAATCTGCAATGAAATCATAATACATCCACAAAACTACGTATTAGGTCCATAAAAACGACAAAGAAACATGCATTCACCACTCGTAAACCCATATAAACCACAAAAGCAATGCAAAGGATATCATACGTTTGTAGGATATCATGTGTTTGTAGTATATCATGTGTTTGTAGGATATCATGTGTTTGTAGGATATTATGTGTTTGTAGGATATTATGTGTTTGTAGGATATTATGTGTTTGTAGGATATTATGTGTTTGAAGGATATTATGTGTTTGTAGTATATCATGTGTTTGTAGTATATCATGTGTTTGTAGGATATTATGTGTTTGTAGGATATTATGTGTTTGTAGGATATTATGTGTTTGTAGGATATTATGTGTTTGTAGGATATCATGTGTTTGTAGGATATCATACGTTTGTAGGATATTATGTGTTTGTAGGATATCATGCGTTTGTACGATATTATGTGTTTGTAGGATATCATGTGTTTGTAGGATATCATGTGTTTGTACGATATCATGTGTTTGTAGGATATCATGTGTTTGTAGGATATCATATGTACGGAGGAATCCTTCTATTGAATTTCAGGAGATCAAATTTTTAAAGTATAGGCATGCCATGGAGTCTCCCTAGAAATCTCATCCTTTGAGAATGAGCCTGTTAATTTATTGTTAAAGCAGAAGCAAAACGACATATATTTAATAGTTTAAGTTACATAAAGAACGTTGATCTAAGCCATGCGGTGTCGAGCAGAACACAAGTTAAAGTAAACAAAGAGAATGATAGCACAGCGCTATAACCAACAACTACAAACAATAACGACCTTATCTAACAACATTTGAGAAATTAACCTTCCACTCCTCTTCCTTGTAAACCAGACAAGTCTACTCAAAAGCAGAGAGTCTTATACGCTACAAGTCCCGGGCTTGTGACCGGTATAGCAGAGTTAAAAGGTGAAAGGTTTATCATAGATTAATCAACTGGCATATAGCATACAATAAATTAGATAAATTAGCATACAATAAGTAGTGCTTACTAGATCATGTGACTAGCACTATGACCAGATGTATAATACTTTGTTTAATACATATGTCATGTATCGTCATTCCTAACACTCCCCCTTGAGGATATCATTATTAAACAAGACTAAAGTTAATTGATTTCATATACAAACATTTGTCTGAATCGGCTTGTTTGTACCCACTTGTCTTCAAGTAATGATCTATTAAGGAATTCCAGCATCGAGCTGCTTGTTTTAAGCCATACAAGCTCTTTTTCAGTTTGCATACATGATTAGGATTACCTTTATCAACATACCCATCTGGCTGACGCATGTAAATCTCTTCATTAAGATCTCCTTGTAGAAACGCTGACTTTATGTCCATTTGATGAACTTCCCAATCCAGAGAGTTAGCCAGAGCAAGTAAAGACCTCATTGAAATGTTGCGTATCACAGGCGACAATACCTCGTAGAAATCAACTCCCGCAGCTTGCGAGTATCCTTGGGCTACCAGACGCGCTTTGAATTTCTCAATCGATCCATCAGCATTCCGCTTGACCTTGAAAACCCATTTACTTCCAGCTACATTCTTTCCACTGGGTAAAGATACCAGCTCCCACGTTTTATTCTCCATCAGTGAAATATACTCAGCATCAGTGGCTTCAATCCATTCCTTTTTCTGATCACATGACCATGCTTCATTAATGTTCCTGGGTTCGTTAATATCTGCAGTGAGATCATCTGCAACATATACCTATTCATCGGGGTATCTAAAAGTTGTGCCCATTCAACGCATTGATATGTTTTTTGTAGGCTTTTAGCTCTTAACAGTCAGAATTTTGGTGAGAGGGTTGTGTCGTAGGTGGATCTTTTAAACCAATTTCCATCATAGATGCATCCCAATCTCCCATATAGATAACTAGATCCATTACGCTTCTGGCATTGCAATGTTTAATTTGAAATCGTCAGCGATAAAAAAATTTGTTCAGACTCCACTCTTCGTGAGGGAGAAAATGGTAAGCTGTTGCAAGAGTACCACTACGACAAGGTGTCGTAGTTTGTTGTCATAGCTCGCTAATGCCATCGTTTACCAACCAACCTAACCTTTGCCCCGTGTCATTATCGGTAATTCATTTCTTCCGAAGATGAAATTCAACTCGTTAGGACGAAAAGGAATGGGGACACTTCGATAAAAATATGACAGCTTTGTTGCCGTTGGAAACCGGTGTGCTTGCAACATGAAACGAGGTTTATTAACATCACTGACCTGTAAATACCTGCACATATCATCTCACTCAGTTTACTACATTTTTTAGCGTGTAGTATAGTCTTATGGAAATTTAGTTAATGTCGCTTTACAAAATACGGCAAGTTTTAGGTGAGATATTTTTAATATATCTTACGATTAGGTAAATGGTATGCAGGTCCGTGAATGCTTTGGACGTACGCTTTGTTTTTATAGAGCCATTTCTTGCTCTGTAATTGAAACGAAACGATCATCTGCCGAGGTATGGATTATTTTATTTTCGTGTGTGCTTCTTGTTTCTTAAATTGCTGGATCAAAATAAACTTTTTTTTGCCTGAAGTGTAAAGTCTACAAATATTTTGTTGTTGAATGATTTGACGATATTCGTGCTAAGCCAGCTTTTATTTCTTTTTGCGAGAGTTTTAAAAAAGCTATCGAAACGATGCAAAACCGGCTTTTCCTCCTTTAATTTCAGATTACCCGAAATAATTTTGACTCTTTTTTTCCCCCGTCACTGACATTCGCGGAATGTTCAAACTCTTGTGAAGTTTCAAAACTGTATTTTTTTTATTTGCGTTATAGAATGATGAAAAAGAAATCTCAAGTTTGCAAGATGAGGTGAAAAAATGCAAGGAGGAGAAAAGGAAACTGCTTAATGAAGTCGAACAACAAGATGAAAAGATTAAATTGGTATGTTTATTGATAATTATTGGACGACGTTGTGCATGATATCAAGAATTGCTCAGACCCGAGGTTAATGTTATATGTTGAAGCAAAGTTCTTGATAACATGCAAAAGCAGAATTCAAGAATTGTTGTATTATACAATGATAAATGCAGAAGCCTTCAAGCTATTTTGTACGAAAACCACAAGGTTTTTCACATGAAATAGTCTTAGCGTTTTGCTTTCATTTCCTCTCCCCCTCCGTCAAATCTAGTTGCAAATAAAGGAAATTGGTAGTTTGGATAAAGATGTTGGTAAGGAAGACGTGGAAGATTTGCTGAAGAAAAGTGACATTCGCTGTGAAGAAACTAAAGAAAAATGGGCGAAGAAATTGAAGTCTTAAAGGACAGTCTTGCAGCTGTTATTTCGGAAAAGGAAAATATGATAATTGAAAATAAAAAACTTTTAATCGAAATTGAAACGTGTAAATCGGAAATGAGTCTGTTGAAGGAAACGTTAGCGTCGTGTTAGTGCATGTTGAAAGACAGCGAAGCTCCTGCGCTTAAACTCGAAGCAGAATGCGGGAAGAAATTGAAAGAAAAGGAAAATTTAAGCAGCGATTTATCTGAAATGACCACGGAGCTTATTCAAAAGCAATCCGACATCGAAGATCTTATATCTAGTATATCTAGTGGGGTAAGACTTGAGGAAGATTTACTTAAAGCTACTATAAACTATGAGCAGACCACAGCAGTGCTGAAGGAAACAATAAAAACTTTACAATATGCGCAACTAACTTTAGAAGAGAAGACTAAAGCACTTCAAAGATTAGAAGGAAATTTAAAAACTGCAGATATTTATTCAGACGAGAAGGAGACGTTTCTGTTAAATTTGAAAGAAAAGGCTGCGCTCATAGACGAGAAATCATCTTTAATTGTAAAAAATTTGCGAGAAAGAAAAAGAGTTGAGTCGTATTCAGCAAGATGAAGTGAACGCTCTTTTGTTGAAATTACAAGACAAACAGAAGGAAGACGAGAGTAACGAGAGAGAAAGAATGCGTCTGAACAAATTGATCGAAGAAAACACGTCGCAAATTTGCGAACTTAAAGACTGTGTCGCGGAAAAGACCCTAAAGAACGAGGATATTATAAATGAAAATGTGGAGTTGAATGAACGAATCACGCAAATGGAGTCGGCGATGGAAAGTTTGAACGACGATTTGAAGGTAAAAGAGTCACGTATAGTTGATTTGGAATCAAAATTGAAGACGGAAATTGGCAGTGCCAGTGAGTCTGATGCCACGGACGAGAAAGATACACTCGTGGCGGAAAAGGATGAGCTTCAGATTGAGTTGCTTCGTGTACAAAACGAATTAGTTTGCGTAAGGGAGGAGTTGCGTTCGAAAAATGAAGATGTTGTCGAAAGCATGAACAGCGAACATAAAATTGAAGTTGATGAGCTGAATAATCGGATTTGGGTCTTGAAAAAAGATACAAATGTTCAGGGGAACACGACATTCGGTTTGATTGTAATGTAAACGACGAGTTTTTTGAAAACAGACATGTTTCGACATCGCATGATGCCATGTTCAGTGTGAGTGAATAATTACATAAATAATACAAAGTTTATATAAAAGTAATATGATACAGTGACATAAATATGGATAACTTATAACAATAATAAGGAAATGAGATGAATTAATGGGGAGCGTGTTGCAAACTAAATATTGTGTTGAGTCTAAAAACTTGAACATTGAGGTCATGGTTAGTTTTGTTAATGTGGAGTGCTTCTTTGATTTTAAGGGAGAATGAGGTGTCTGCGGTGTCGATAATTATGAAGCAAGAGGGTTAAAAGTTGGTTTTATGAAGGAGATTTAGGAAGGTAACGGTAGATATAAGAGTTTTTGCCTGTTGTGGTATGTTCCTTGATTCTTGTGAATAAACGGCACCTTCTCAAATCTCATTCATGTAAAAGCAACTATTCACCCTCCTGCTTCAATATCATCGACACCGCAGACACCTCTTTCTCCCTTAAAATCAAAGAAGCACTCCACATTAACAAAACTAACCCTGACCTCAATGTTCAAGTTTTTAGACTCAACACAATATTTAGTTTGTAACACGCTCCCCATTAATTTATCTCATTTCCTTATTATTGTTATAAGTTATCCATATTTATATGTTTATGTTACTGTATCGTTTTACATTTATATAAACTTTGTGTTATTTATGTAATTCTAAACTCATACTAAAGATGGCATCATGACGTGTCGAAACATGTCTATTTTCAAAACCTCGTCGTTTACATTAAATGAGCCTTTTTCCACCATTTACTAGTTCAGTTTATCTTGTTAGCCTGTCTGATTTCCTCGTAAATGAAGGGAACCATCGAATTCACTTGTAAAAAAATAGAATTGTCAAACCAGAGTACCTTTTCTACGAAATCATCCAGAATCCATCTCTGAGATGCGTGGTCTGAACCACAAAAATTGTGAGGCGTCAAAACGTTTTTGAGATCATTGTAATAATTTTCACATTTCTATCTGTTTCGTGTCATTTACTTATTTCATTTCAATTCACCGTCACTTACACAGGTTTCATGTCCAATGTGCCGCGCGCGTGATAAGGCTGGCACCGAGCGACGGGATAGTGAAATATTCAAAGCGATACTCGTCGATTTCGAAGAACAGATTGGAACTGACGATGTTGCAAAGGTTTGTGACCCATGTTACTGCATGTTAACCTTTGTTTTCCACATTTTTCCTTTGCCACGAGTCTTTTTCTTGTGCCTAATTTGTTTTACTTATAAAAATACGATGGTAGTACCATTGTTGCAACAATTTCTATTGCTTCAGTAAGACGAATTGACAACGTATTTACCTAATTAAAATTCAACTATTTAAATTCAACAGTCGTATTACAAGTAGTACGACTTTGCCCGTCCTCTGTGCTGGTAGTATCGCTAACAATCCCGAATTTTGAGCTTGAAATAATCAAAATCACCACAAAGTATTCACACGAACATTTAATTGACGCTATCGTTTACAGTGTGTGGAGCACTGTCTAAATTAATTCTGCAAACATAGTAAGACCTTAGTATAATTTCGTAAAAGCACTATTGCTAATTTACATTTAATATAAACGACGACAAGTTTTTTGAAAATAGACATGTTTCGACATCTCATGATGCCATCTTCAGCATGAGTGAAATAATAAGTGATGCAAGGTTTGTATAAAAGTAATATGATAAATAAATTACAACAATAAAAAGGAAATAAGATGAATTAATGGGGAGCGTCCGCGTGTATTATGAAAAAAATATTGTATTGAATTTAAAAAGTTGAACATTGAGGTCAGGGTTAGTTTTTTTAATGTGTAGTGCTTCTTTGATTTTAAGGGTGAATGAGGTGTCGGCAGTGTCGATGATTTTGAAGCAAGAAAGTGAATAGTTGGTTTTACATGAGTGAGATTTAAGAAGGTGTCGGTAGATATGATAGGTTTTGTCTCTTGTGATATGTTCACTGATTCTGGTGGATAAATGGCGCGAAGTTTCACCAATGTTTCGGGAATTACATCCCGCGCAATTGAATTCATATACCACCATAGATTTAATTGAATCAGGGATTGGGTCTTTGAATAAGAAAAGGTTTTCGATTTTGAATGATGTAAAAATTAGTCGAATGTCAATATCTGTACAGAAGCGTTTCATAATGTTTGTAAGTCAACGTCCAACATACACCCGCTACATGCTTGTGTTTCTGTATTCTTCAAATTTCATATCATTCTAACGTGGATAAAAAGTCTTAGTCCAATCAATATTTCGTTTGAGTTTACAATAAATAATGTTTTATGAGTTGCGAAAATGCATGATTTTAAGAGATTTGAATATTCACATTGCATATTGGTAATGACGCTCACATTCCGTCTAGTCATTTGCCGTACGATGTTAAAGTATCCCGCAGCAAACCAGATCACTTCGTGCACATGTTCCGGCGAAACAGATGATAAAAAGAGAAAAATGAAGAAATAAAAGGTCAATTATTGCATGGCAAGCGTCACTTCAGGCAAAATGCATGCTTTGATTGGCTCAGAAACATTTTTGCCGGTCCATTATTTTCCCGTAATCGAGCACTGTCCAAAACGCGTAATTTTACAGTCAAATGTAAACAAACTTCGTAATGCAAACTGCAAAACGCAAAATAAACGAAACAAAGAATCATTTTCGAATGTGATTCGAAGGAAAAACACTTGAAAACAGTTTAACTATCCAGACGATATAATTTGAAACGATTCATTTTTAATGGACAAAAATTAGAAAAGGGAAAGCCAACCGGTAAGAAACAGCAAGGACGAGAAAGAAAGCAAGCTTCATTTCAGGTCAAATAATGACATATAATAAACCTTTTAATCACCATCACCTCGCTTTTTCGGTCTTAACTGAGAAATATGGGACCTCTGTCTTTTTGTACGAACCTCGCCCTACGTGCTCGGTCTGTACGGAAAAACTTCGGTCCAATATTTCTCCGTAAAGACCTCGCGCTCGGGTTATTAAGAGCTTAATAATTGCTCTGAGTAATGAAAGTTGGACTCAGCGCATATAATTGCGAAGAAGACCAAGATGTCGAAGGGTGCTGTGCAACAAAACGCAGGTTCCGGGAATCAGGATCTTCTTTTACCAAACAACATCTGGGAGACTGGGGGCTACCTTTTTGAAAGAGGAACTGTTAAGGAATTCTTTTTGAATACAGATAGAGTTGGGGTTATTCAGATTGCATGACATCGAAAAAAAATATGTAAATTAAAACCATTGAAAAGAACAGATTTACGTGCAGCTATTTTAGGTGTATGTCCTGGTAGGTGTAGTATGTACTCATAATTAAGACCCACAAGCTTAGTTCCTAATGAATGGAGTGCTGTGAAGTTTGCCCGAAGCAATCAGTATAAATACATGTAATTAATTAGAGAGTTTTTGAGTGAGAGTTGTGAGTGTGTTCAATAAAATTGTCGAAAGATACAATCTCCAGAGTGTTATTGAACCAGCAACTGGAAAGCGGAGAGGAGTTTTCCAACAGGAACAATACATTGAGATCTCATCTTTACGTTGCAGAAATGCTACTAACATCCGGTCAACAGTGCATACAACACGAGAGACATCAATGGCCGTTTTTATGCTTAAGACAGTTAATATCATGCGTTTTACGACGGACGACTTAAGACGGATTTCTTTGTTGCGCGGCTTAAACTTGTCGGAACGATAAAAACGGTCACAAGACGAGTCGAACCTTCTTCATTCTTGACAGTTGACATAACTGGACGTATCATCTGTCCTGACGTCTATTAACAGTTTTTAGCATAAGAACGGCCATTGAGTATATTAACATCTAAAAGGAGACGATGGAAGAACATTGTCTAGATCTCGGCTTTTACCTCGGTAAACACGAGTGGATACATACATCTGACATGCTTATATTTGTTTATTCAGGACAAGCTTGTGGAGGAGTTAAGACATGCGTTGATCTCTGATCAAGATGTATTGGAGCAAAAGCAGTTCGTTTTGGACGAGAAGGAGATAGAAATACTCGCAAAGGACGAAGCTATTGCTCGACTGGAAACGGAAAATGCTGACTTGATGAAAAAATATGAATTAATCCTAGCTGATTCCAATGATCAAATAACCTGTTTTAAACAAAAAGGTATGACCCGCCGTGATTGTATGTCATAGTTTGTACAAAACTTGAATGTCGTTGAATTTAAGTCGAAATTTAATTTCGCCTTTCCTCTTTTACAAAAAATATAATGATTGACATACTTTGAGATATTTTTCGACTGTTATTGCTTGATTGTAATGCAGTTTATCTGTCATTGCACTGTGGAAAAGTATAATTGCCCTGTAAATACCGTAACCTGATTGGCTAAAAACCGCTGAAAGCCAATATATCTTAAAGTATGTTATTATTTATAAGTAGTAGTTTTGTTACCCGTGCAATTACGGCTAAACATGCACTTTTGAGTTTTTAAAGACTGAAAATAGCGCTCGTCCTTCGAACTCGAAACTACTACTACCTATACTAATTGCGACATGACTACAGGAATGACGAAGAATCAAATCGCAAATATACTGTTGACAGTACATTTTGCGCTTCAAAAAATTGCAGATTACGCGTGCAATGCATATGTTGGTAGACTCTTTTTTTCCTTTGTTTTATTTAAATGTGTATTTTCTGTGGAGTACAACCGCTATCCCCCTATCCCCCATCCCTATCCGCAATTTAGGACATTGTTCTCTCCGGGTACGATTCTTATCATATTAAAGAGTGGCATTTACAAATCAACAAATTCATTTGATTCAGAAGATGAAATGAAACAGAATTACGTCGAACTCGAACGCTCCCAGGATGAACTGACTGTCGAGAAGAACGCGAAAGCAGGTAAGAAAATTCGCCACGATGTAACACGATATCACGAATTTGATAAATGGTATCCATATAAAGCATTTCTGTATTTGTATCGTGTAAGTGACTTGATTCTGAAGATGACTACCGCTAAGGTTTTCAAAACGTCAGTCAACATCAACACCAATGGTCCTTCTCAGGACTCTGGACGATCTACATGCGCAAAGAAGTAATGAGTGAGACGAGGTTGTCTATTTATTCACGAGGTTTTAATGGTTTGCTTTTGTGTTCTCGCCCGTAAAAATCGTTAAAAACACTCCCGATCGTGTTGCTGTTTTCGGGTTTTTGCGTCCTTAACCTTAAAAGTTTCAGCCAAATCCGTTGGTAAACCTTGGCAAATGTCTAGGAAGATTCTCAAATGTCTAGGAAGATTCCGCCATTTTACTCTTTGTGTTTACAGTTGTCACATAAAAAATTACGTCACCTACATACATCTTTTGCTGACGGCAAGACATTGAGAATTATGTGTATTCTCATAGGCAATCACAATCGCGTTTTAGTTACCTTCGTTGTTGAATGAATATAAATGATATACAAAGCAGTTTATATTCTATACAACATATAAAATATATATTTTCAGGAAATTTTTCAAAAGCTCACAGATAGTTTGAAGAAAAACACAAGCAACAGTTGGAAGGTTACACATTATATAGAAGCGATAACGGAAACTACGGACCTTGGACTGGGGATGGATTTCTTGGAGATAGTAGTTTCCGTTATCGCTTCTATGAGAACGAGGTGCTTCTAGTGACTCGAGTAACTGCTTTTAAAATTCACGATAAGTCATGGGCTTGCGCGCTGATATTTTTTGGGTGGCGATCCGGGTATTTTACCCCCCAATTTCCCGACTTTTTGTTCTTTCTAGTCCAGTTTCTAGTCATGTTAATTGCTATAGTTAAAAATTACTTGCAACGCTGTTACTTGTTTAATTAAAGTCAATAGTTATGCGTAACCGAATATTTTAGGTAGCTGATGAACGGATGAAAAACAGTTCTTTGGACACAGAACATCATGATGATATGGTGGATGTCATTGGCATTAGAAACCTGAAGGAAAAGCATGGTAGAGAAAGCTATGTAAAAGTATCTAATGTGCAACGTAATTATCATTTTCCTTGGGGTAACAACATAATAAGGCATGCGCACAGCGAAGTCCATGTGAATTTTTTATTTTGCATAGTTTTTCATCTAATAAGTCAACTGCATTGACTTTCTTCAAGCGTCAAAGATCAAACGTCCTTTTATGTTTCTTTGAACTTTAGTCAGTGATGAAAAACGTCTTTCGTTATCTGATGTCATCGACTATGAAAAAGTGATATGTGAAAATGCACATTTGCGTGCCAGTGAAGAGAAATTGACAAAAGAGACTGCTCTACTTGAACAGAAACGCCGAGAAAATGAAAATTGAACTGCGAAAATCTAAAACTGAACAACGAAAATCAAAAACTGAACACTGGTTTAAAGGAATTCGAAGGTAAGTCTGTGTTTTATTTTTCCCAACTTTCATATGTTTGAAGCTCCATCAGCGGTTATTTATCTCATTAGTCAAAATACAGTCCTTCAAGCGTTAGAATTACGTCATCAGAGCATTCAAATTACGTAACTAGAAACGTAAATTACTGAACGTTCTTGAGTTGAAAAAAATTAATTCGATTAATTTTGTGTTCATCATGTAGACGTGATACAAGATTTTAAAATGAAATGCGCAGTTCTTGAAGACGAGACCAAAGAACTTAAAATGCAGTTAAAAAAATATGCCACTGCTGTTGACGACTCGGTGGCGAAATGTCTTCAACTGCAACGAGATAGGGAGGAAGAGCTTGAAGATAAATACCGTCTGCAAATCGACGAAGGAAATGCAAGAATCGCCGAGCTGAATAATGAAGTTGTCAAACAGTCTAAAGAAAGAAAACCAAACTGAAGAAAGAAAATTACAAACTAAATATGTGTTTAAGAGAATGCGAAGGTATAATCCAAAAACATATTGTGTTTCAGCATATTATAGGATAACGTCAAGAGTTTAAGCATTAATTTTATTTTGTCTACGAAAGAGGCACGGAATGTTCACCAAAAAAACAGTACTTGCTGTTTTGTTTTTATTCTTTGCATTCTTTTGCAATTCTTGAATTTCAAACGATTGCAATTGTGGAAAGCCTTGTTTACTTACAATTTCCACCATGTCTTTTTAATCAAAAAGAAGTATGTTTGGCTTTCACAGCTCTCACAGTGCAATTAGAGATTTTCAGCATTGCAATTACAAATTTTAACGGTGCAATTGCAGATAAACTGCACTGCCATCATCCAATCACAGTCGAGAAATATCTAATGGTATCTTATTATACGAATAATTATACGAGAATTTATCCCTGGACAAATGAAGTTCTTTAAAATAAACCTACTTGAGGCGGTTGACGTATTTGAACAAAAGAAAAGGAAAAAAACGGTTTGCCAACGTCGAAGGAAACAAAATACAACTGTTTGCCTGAATTCCTTCGATTTTGCGTAAAACAAATAGATTACACTTAACCATTGTCTATTCAGACATAGATACACGTGTTTTGAAATTTTGCTACTTGCAGTGCAATAATTATTTTGTCTAAAAGGGTTTTTCGCTTCCTTTTACCGATGGTACATATGATGCAACGAGCAACTCATAAAAATATTGGTGTTGCCAGTTTTCGAAATAAATTACAATGTATTTCCATTTCCAAATACGTTAGAGGCAGTTTAGTTTGTAAAATTTTATTTAAGAAATAAAATGTGTTTACTAGGTTTCCACAGGCTCATTCAAACCGAGGCGACCTTTAGGAAAACACCAGAGCAGATCAGCACAAGGTTGCCCCTACACGAGAGTTCTCACAACGTCTCCGAGGTTAGCATAAGCCAGTGGAAACACGAAAAGTTTCTTTCGTGTCTTTTATGAAATAGCGATAATGCAAGATTAACAAATTTAAAAGAAATGTTTATTATTTCGTCTAACATGTATTCATGGTCTATTTGGAAATTCTCTTTGCTTGATTGATTTGATGGTTGAGCTCAAATCGGTTTGCACAGGCTAATGAAAAGTGTAAACACAGCTATAGACCAATCGCCGCACGCCTTTTATTGTTTTTATTCATAATCTTTAAAAACTCATAACCATTTTTTTTGTTCAGAAGGTTTGTCCAATTCAAAATTGACCAACTATAATTTAATTTAACTTACACTAACTCCATCACTAGATGTTAGCTACATAACTTACTCAGTAACATTACCTTGGCATTTCGTACACTGTTTTTCTCATGCATTGATAGCTACGTATTTTACTCAGTAACATTACCTTGGCATTTCGTACACTGTTTTTCTCATGCGTTGATAGCTACATAACTTACTCAGTAACATTACCTTGGCATTTCGTACACTGTTTTTCTCATGCATTGATAGCTACATATTTTACTCAGTAGCATTACCTTGGCATTTCGTACACTGTTTTTTCTATGCGTTGATAGCTACATACAACTTACTCAGTAACATTACCTTGGCATTTCGTACACTGTTTTTCTCATGCATTGATAGTTACATATTTTACTCAGTAGCATTACCTTGCCATTTCGTACACACTGTTTTTTCCTATGCACTGATAGCTACATAACTTACTTAGTAGCATTACCTGGCATTTCGTACACTGCTTTTCTCATGCATTGATAGCTACATAACTTGGATTTAGTAGCATTACCTGGCATTTCGTACACTGTTTTTCTCATGCATTGATAGTTACATATTTTACTCAGTAGCATTACCTTGGCATTTCGTACACTGTTTTTCTCATGCATTGATAGCTACATAACTTACTCAGTAACATTACCTTGGCATTTCTGTACACTGTTTTTCTCATGCATTGATAGCTTCTATAACTTACTTAGTAGGCATTACCTTGGCATTCTCGTACACTGTTTTCTATGCATTGATAGCTACATAACTTACTCAGTAGCATTACCTTGCCATTTCGTACACTGTTTTTCTCATGCATTGATAGCTACATAACTTACTTAGTAGCATTACCTTGGCATTTCGTACACTGTTTTTCTCATGCATTGATAGCTACATATTTTACTCAGTAACATTACCTTGGCATTTCGCACACTGTTTTTCTCATGCATTGATACATATTTTACTCAGTAACATTACCTTTGGCAATTCGTACACTGTTTTTCTCATGCATTGATAGCTACATAACTTACTCAGTAGCATTACCTTGGCATTTCGTACACTGTTTTTCTCATGCATTGATAGCTACATATTTTACTCAGTAACATTACCTTGGCATTTTGCACACTGTTTTTCTCATGCATTGATAGCTACATATTTTAGTCAGTAACATTACCTTGGCATTTCGTACACTGTTTTTCTCATGCATTGATAGCTACATATTTTACTCAGTAATTACCTTGGCATTTCGTACACTGTTTTTCTCATGCATTGATAGCTACATATTTTACTAATGAGCATTACCTTGGCATTTCGTACACTGTTTTTCTCATGCATTGATAGCTACATAACTTACTCAGTAAAATTACCTTGGCATTTCGTACACTGTTTTTCTTTATGCATTGATAGCTACATATTTTACTCAGTAGCATTACCTTGCATTTCGTACACCGTTTTTCCTATGCATTGATAGCTAGCATATTTTACTAGTAACATTACCTTGGCATTTCGCACACTGTTTTCTCATGCATTGATAGCTACATATTTTACTCAGTAGCATTACCTTGGCATTTCGCACACTGTTTTTCTCATGCATTGATAGCTATTTTACTCAGTAGCATTACCTTGGCATTTCGTACACTGTTTTTCTCATGCATTGATAGCTACATATTTTACTCAGTAGTGATTACCTGGCATTTCGTACACTGTTTTTCCTATGCATTGATAGCTACATATTTACTCAGTAACATTACCTTGGCATTTCGCACACTGTTTTTCTCATGCATTGATAGCTACATATTTTACTCAGTAGCATTACCTTTGGCATTTCGCACACTGTTTTTCTCATGCATTGATAGCTACATAACTTACTCAGTAGCATTACTCTTGCCATTTCGTACACTGTTTTTCTATGCATTGATAGCTACATATTTTACTCAGTAGCATTACTCTGGTATTTCGTACACTGTTTTTCTCATGCATTGATAGCTACATATTTACTAATGAGCATTACCTTGGCATTTCTGTACACTGTTTTTCTATGCATTGATAGGCTACGTATTTTACTCAGTAGCATTATTCCTTGGCATTTCTGTACACTGTTTTCTCATGCATTGATAGCTACATATTTTACTTCCAGTAGCATTACCTTGGCATTTTGCACACTGTTTTTCTCTATGCATTGATAGCTACGTATTTACTCAGTAACATACCTTGGCATTTCGTACACTGTTTTTTCATGCATTGATAGCTACATAACTTACTTTAGTAACATTGTCTTTGGCATTTTGTACACTGTTTTTCTCATGCGTTGATAGCTACATAACTTACTCAGTAACATTACCTTGGCATTTCGTACACTGTTTTTCCTATGCTGATAGCTACATAACTTACTCAGTAGCATTACCTTGGCATTTCGTACACTGTTTTTCTCATGCATTGATAGCTACATATTTTACTCAGTAGCATTACCTTGGCATTTTGTACACTGTTTTTCTCATGCCTTGATAGCTACATATTTTACTCAGTAACATTACCTTGGCATTTCGTACACTGTTTTTCTCATGCATTGATAGCTACATATTTTACTCAGTAGCATTACCTTGGCATTTCGTACACTGTTTTTCTCATGCATTGATAGCTAGATAACTTACTCAGTAAAATTACCTTGGCATTTCGTACACTGTTTTTCTCATGCATTGATAGCTGTTTTACTCAGTAGCATTACTTTGGCATTTCTTGCACACTGTTTTTCTCATGCATTGATAGCTACATATTTTACTCAGTAACATTACCTTGGCATTTGCACACGTTTTTCTCATGCATTGATAGCTACATATTTTACTCAGTAGCATTACTTGCATTTCGCACACTGTTTTTCTCATGCATTGATATTACATATTTTACTCAGTAGCATTACCTTGGCATTTCTGTACACTGTTTTTCTATTATGCATTGATAGCTACATATTTTACTCAGTAGCATTACCTTGGCATTTCGTACACTGTTTTTCTCATGCATTGATAGCTACATATTTTACTCAGTAACATTACCTTGGCATTTCGCACACTGTTTTTCTCATGCATTGATAGCTACATATTTTACTCAGTAGCATTACCTTGGCATTTCGCACACTGTTTTTCTCATGCATTGATAGCTACATAACTTACTCAGTAGCATTACCTTGCCATTTCGTACACTGTTTTTCTCATGCATTGATAGCTACATATTTTACTCAGTAGCATTACCTTGGCATTTCGTACACTGTTTTTCTCATGCATTGATAGCTACATATTTTACTAATGAGCATTACCTTGGCATTTCGTACACTGTTTTTCTCATGCATTGATAGCTACGTATTTTACTCAGTAGCATTACATTGGCATTTCGTACACTGTTTTTCTCATGCATTGATAGCTACATATTTTACTCAGTAGCATTACCTTTGGCATTTTTTGCATTAATTGTTTTTCCCTATGCATTGATAGCTACGTATTTTACTCAGTAACATTACCTTGGCATTTCGTACACTGTTTTTCTCATGCATTGATAGCTACATAACTTACTTAGTAACATTATCTTGGCATTTTGTACACTGTTTTTCTCATGCGTTGATAGCTACATAACTTACTCAGTAACATTACCTTGGCATTTCGTACACTGTTTTTCTCATGCGTTGATAGCTACATAACTTACTCAGTAG